AATTCTGACTGATCTGATGAGCTAATGGCTAGTCTGAGTGGCACTAAGTTAGTTTTAGTGGTCTCACACAAACACCAAACTCAACACTGATTTCTTTAAATTAAGATCTTTCAATAAACTATCTACAACAGGTAGGATATTCTTGGTTGGTAATCTCACCATAGAATTGCCTTTTTTATATTTAAAACTTTTCTAACCGTTTTGACTTTTTCAAAGAGGAGATGATGCTTTAAAACAATTCATGAAAGTGTTTCACCAACGTTTAATACATTATATTCCAGATTTATTCTCTTAATGTTCTCCATTGGACTGTTTTTGAGAAGAAAGCATCTCTTTATCTGACAAATGCCCTAAAATCCACAGGAGTAATGTGTTCTGATTGTAGCTTTCAGTGTTTCTGCCTTTTTAAACAGACTGGGTGCTGCTCCCTGTTTCCGGTTCATAACATCCACTTTTCTCATCAGCGGTCACAAAATTCCCAGAGAGACAGTTTAATGACCCTCATGTGGTCCGAGGCACAATTATCAGTCAGTCAGCCCGGCTCTGAAAGCGTCCCGCTCTGCTCTGTAGAGCTGCAGCGCTGCTTTGTCCCGGCCCCCGTCAGGTTCTGGTGCCACGGTCTCTCCCCTCGGCTGCGTGCAGGATAGTTTATTATCTGCTGAAGCTACTGGTTGTAATTGGACGATGGTAAATTTCCCTGTGGTTTCTGACCGTGTGGCAGAAACGTGTTCAGCTGCCTCGTGACAAACCATCCGTCTGACTGTGGAACTGATTTGAAATGAAAATGAGGTCTTTGTTTTGGTTCTGCTGAACAGAACTGAAGCCATAATTTAAAATAAGATGTTTTTGAATATGACTGGACATGTGATGGTGCTGGAATGTCAAAAAGRCCAACTACACCTCATGCTCATGGATGTCCCCATTGGTTTTAAGGTGAACAGTCACAGGTGACATCTTTGTTCAAAACCTCGTCTCTGCTCCAGCTCGATGTGAAATATCATCAGACTCTGGCTCTACTCTGAGTCTCATGTTAGGATGGATTCCACCAAAGAAACCTAGAGTGGTTCTGCTTTGATAGGCTGCTAGTCAACAAGTTTCTTATTACAACTAATGGCTGCAGTTTTGTTTACATGTTCTTTAATTGAACTCTTGATTTACACCATGAGACGTATGACGTCTGGTGAATTGACCTTCCACCCCACAATCGTATATTCTAATCAGGATTGTCGTGTGAGGGGATTCTTACATTTTACTGTAGAGCAGAGGCATCACACATGCTTCAGAAGATTGACTGCTGTGGTACAAGCACGACGCCATATTGGAAGGAGCAGGCCGCCTATAAACAATTCATGGTTAGATTTCTGAGTAGAATTGCATTTAAATTATTGTTCAGCTTCTACCTATCAACAGGGTTCCTGCGGATCCTTAAAATGTCTTTAAAAGGCCTTGAATTCATCAATCCAAAAATAAGGCCTTAATTAGCCTTAAAAGATCTTAAATCAATCTTCAGGAGTCTTAAAAATGTTAACACATTGTAAATAGGATGATTCGTATCAAATATTAAAATAATTGGTAACATTTATTTTTTTAAATATTCCCATTCAGATGTTCCCGTTTGACATCACTTCCTGTTATTTCATATGCAAATATCTCAACAACTGTCCATCTGAGCAATGTGAAATTCTTTTTTTAATATGTTAATGTTGTKTTTCCAAAAATGCATTCATATTTCTTACAAACATTTGATGTCACAGGCACTTTAAGGTTTCATCTACAGCAAGCTGGGGTTGAGAACCCACTGTGGGTCATAAAACTCCAAATATTGGGTCATTAGAGG